CACCGCGCTCCCTCAGAGGCGCCGCCGGCGCTGAGGGCGGGCGGGAAGCGTGACCGGGCACACAGCGCCCCCTGCCGGCCGCACGGCGCCCTCTGAGGGACCGCCGAGCCCGCGCGCCAAAACGGAAATAGCTCTGAGGGCTCAGCGTGAGGGGAACGGGAACGGGAGCGGGAACGGGGAACGGGAGCGAGAAATGGGAACGGGAAATGGGAACGGGAACGGGGAACGGGAGCGAGAAATGGGAACGAGAAATGGAACGGGAACGAGAAATGGGAGCGAGAAATGGGAACGGGAAATGGGAACGAAAAATGGGAACGGGAACGGGAAATGGGAGCGAGAAATGGGAATGCGAAATGGGAAACGGGAACGGGGAACGGGAGCGAGAAATGGGAACGAGAAATGGGAACGGGAAACGGGAACGGGAAATGGGAACGGGAAACTGGAACGGGGAATGGGAATGGGAACGGGAAACTGGAACGGGGAACGGGGAACGGGGAATGGGAATAGAAATGGGAAACGGGAACAGGAAACAGGGACGGTAATGGGAAACGGCAACTGAAAATGGGAAGAGGAAATGGGGGCACTGTCGGGAACTGGGAGTAAAGTGGGTGCCAGGGGCGGCGGCAAGAGGAGCCAGCAGGGAAAYGGGAATCAGGCAGCAAACAGGAGCTCGGGAGAGAGCTGGAAACTACACAGACACACAGAAACCGGGAACCTTGGAGCTGGGGAGGGAACCAAGGAACAGGACAAGRGGGTGAAGGGAACTGTGAGCTGCAGGGGTGGAAATGGGGACCTGGGGAGAACCTGGGGGAAACCGGGAACCGGGGCAGAGGGAACTGGGAATTGTGGGGCAAATGGGAGTGGGGTASAGAAGCGGGACCCAGGTGGGAAACGTGAGCCAGGGGAGGGGGAACTGGGACCCGGGAGCTGGGGAAGACAGCGGAGTCCGGAGGATCCAGAGCAGCTGCTGAGTGGGCACTGCCACCCTGGAACCACTGGCAGTGCCAGGGTTAGAGGCCACGCTGAATTGTGATTGATTTTTTTCCTTGGCAAGGACTTTAATACCAAGAATAGTCCTTGTTTAACAGAGTGCAGTGAGCACAGATTGCTTTTTGTGAGGAGCTTTGCTGGTGGAGGTTTGAGCTACAGGATGGAGCCTTGGGTGGGCTGGCGAGAGGATTGCAGGGAAGTTCAGCTGTTTGAGGACACTGCTCTTGGACATCCACAAAGAAGGAGCTTTAAGGAAGCCAGGGAGCTGAGGAGAAACCTCTGTTTCCTGCCAGATGAGGTTGCACTTGAGCAAAGCGGTGTGGGATCTCAGCTTTGGACTCACAGGACAGTAGAGCCATGGAAACAGATACTCAACTCAAAAAGTGAGGTGAAGGTAGGACATTTGCAAGAAGTATGAGAGATGGGGTGCCATAATCTCCCTCTGAGTCTGCTCTGAGAACCCCAGTAAATACCTCCACATTTCAGTGTCACATGAATTAGTCTCTCTGCCTAAGGAGAGGGGTTAATTGTCACTTCATCCAGACTTGGTCTCTAAAACATGGGGATTCGTAGGGGTGTATAAACACTGCAAAATTGCTTCACAACAAAGCCAGTTGTGCCTTGGGTGTGATGGACTRAACAGGCTCTTAGGCTGGCTTCCAGTTCTAGGCATAAAGAATTGGATCTGTGCACTAGTAGTTAGTAAGGATATGTAACTGTATTCTTACAGCTGAAATGGCATCTTTTRTATAAATGAAATTTAAGACCTTCATGCTTCTGGATCCCATACCAAAGAAATATTCCTTGTGGCTTAATTTCCCGTGTAAATTACGGGCAGAGGAGCTGTTACAATTAAAACCTTATGTGATACTTTGTTTCACTTTGTGTCTTGCCTCAAACATAGGCTGTGATCTCTCCAAATATGACAAGGTTATGTTGAGAGCCTCATGAAGGCTCCCCTGAAAGTTTTATTCTGCCCAGCTGCAGCAGTCTGAGGTTGTTCAGACCAGAGGCAATTTTTGTTTGATGAYAGTTGTAGGAGAATACTGGGATTCTGCTGTCAAAGTGACTTGGAATGGAGATGTGCTCCCCAGGCTGGTTGGAATGTCAAGCTCTCCCACCTGTACATCACCTCTGTACTGGTCTGTTGGCTRAATCAGTGTTTTTACTGGCACAAAAATCAATGCACCAAAAAAGCTGTAAAAAGGCCCAGAACTCTGCTTGTAAATTTTTGTGACAGAACTTCCAGAAAGCCCTGGAAACAAAAACTGTGTTAGCCTTTCCTCCTGTATTTCTGCAAAATCTTGGTGTTTCTATTTTTAGACTCGGTTGGAAAGTATTGCACTAAGTTTAGATTGTGCTTAACCAAGCTGATACTTTTGGTGGTGCATGTGTGGCTCTGCACTTCACTTTTCTTTAAGGTTAACTTTAAAAGTAATGGTCATCACTTATATTTTAATAGAGCAAATTGCTTGTCCCCTCTATGGATATTAATGTCACAAAGTTCTAACAGGGAGCTGCAGTTGGGAAGGGAGACAAAACGAGTTCAGGACAGAGGGTTACGGTGGCTGTAGGTTGATTTCTTTATTGTGGCTGTACCAGAGGGAGAATTAATGAAATCTGACCTCCAGTCTGTTTTTTTCCATTTTGGAAAAGAATGACTGAGATCCAGAGCTGATGAGCACTTCAGCCACACTTCAGTATTTGGATCTCCTGTGCTGGAGGTGGATGATGACTTGTGCAGCTTCCTTGTGTGAAGCTTTAAATTCTCACCTGATTTGAGGTTCCTGTTAAATGTTGCCTAATTTAGAGCAAGCTGCAGCCATCTCTGAGTAAGGGGCACTTGGGCTAGATTTGTGTTGAGTGTTGGTTTCTCAGCTTAGTTAAAWCTCAGATCTTAGGCACAGATGCCTTTTTGAGATTCCTCCTGTGTTTGGAAAGCCCTTTTACCTAAGAAAGGGGTTTGATTTGCTTGTCTGCATTACTCCTCKTTCCCTGCAGCTGTTCAGAAAACACACTGGCTCTCACATCTGTGACCACCTGGACTGTTTATCCTGCTGCTGTTCATGGAAGCTGCTGTTCAGGAGCAGGGYTTGGGRCCTGSTCTGTGACCCATGGCTAGAGGGATCCCTCTGCAGGGATCTCTGCTCCTTCTGAGCAGAGGGAGCACAGCAGTGCCTGCACAACCCCCCAGCCTGGAGGAAAAGGTGCTGCAACAAGTTCAGGTTTAATTCAATCAAATGATCTTTGGGAGAGTGAGTGAGGATGAAGTGCTGAATGGCCACGCTTGGTGAAATTCCAGTCCTGGGCTAATTCATGCTCAGCCCAGGGTAAATCACCTCAAAGGAAAAGCAGGGAGACAGCCACAGGTGACCTAAACGTGCCTTCAGRACTGTAGCACGAGGGACCTGGAGGAAGAGAGTTGTTCATGTGGGGATTAACCAGCAACTAAGAAAGATCTGCTGTTTTATCTACTACCTGATCAATTAGGCAGCAGATTGTTGTTCTGAAGAAGGCAAGTGCATTGCTGGCGCTGAAGTGTATTTAAATATCTGTCACAGCAAACACTGGCACATGCCAGGCCATGAACTCCTGCCCTTCTACTAGAGAGCAGTTCTTCCTGCAGAAAATCAAGCTGTGAATATTTTAACAGGTTACTGTCATCAACAGTGGATACTGCAGGAAAATCCCGGCAGGTAAAAGAAACAAGGGTGTAGTAGGAGAGGATTAAGGGTGTGTCAATGTTGGTTTTATCTGACAGYGTTTCAAATCAACATCTGCATCTGTTTATAGGCACTTTGCTTCTTGTGTAGTTTCTCTAGTTTATCAGTGACTCAGGAATACAGGAGTCTCCTGTGGGGCATTAAGAGGGGTTAACCTATACATTGTAAAGATTTGTGCTAATGAGGTTTGAAGCAAAGAAAATCAGATTACTTATCAGTGCTACTGCTTTGCCACTGACCCTGACAATTTAAGGGTGATTTATGATTTCTGGCATGCCTTCCAGGCCTCTGAGCGGAGTGCTCAGAGCAGAACTGCCCTGAAGTCTTTTAGGAGTCTCCAGAGAACTGGACTGAGAGCCATTTCCCCACATCCATATCAGGTATCAGTCACAGACAGCACGGAGAAACACTTACAGCGCTCCCTAACCCATGCYTTTCTTCACTGCAGTTATTTCTTACTGTGGCACTGAAATCTGTGTGCTTCTCCTTTTGCCAGGGCCTGTGAGCCAACCTCACACACATCCTGCAGCGCTGTGAGCTTGACCTGGCAGGTTCTTTGGAGCGTGTTAGTTCAGTGGTTACCCAAGCATGTGGGTAACTGTGTTCTTTCCACAAGAGCCAGGCATGTGCGTCAAGGCTGCATTCAAGCACCTTGTGGCTTCCAGACAGTGGCAAATGCTTGGGCAGCATTCAGTCCTAGACAAGCTGTTGGTGAAGACCTGTTCAGCCTGTGTCAGCCAGACAGACTTGTGACATGTTACTGGGATGTRGTGCTGCTTCAGAACTTCCCAAGGGAAAAAAGATAGTGATAGCACCTGGTGATGAGTTGGTTTGCTYGTGGTCACAGATAGGCCCATCATTATTAAGGAGGGATTAATGCCCTAGACTTTCTCCTCAAGAGATCCTTTATCCTGCTGCTGGTTTGCTAGAGAGAAATGAGTTCTCATCCTGTTCCCTGTGCCTGCAAGGCAGACACCTTGTCACGCTGTCACATCAGGCGTCTTGCTAAGATGGTGTGTAGGGCCAAACACATGAGCTGGCATTGTGGTGAACCAATGTCTGGCTCAGCTGGGTTTGTGACATAAAGCCATGGTTATTCAAAGCAAATGAACCTTTTGCAAGTKACTCTTTGTGAGAAAGTGCATCTCGGGACTTGTCTGCTTGGTGGTTTGGACTAAAGGTGTGAAGCACACGCATGAACTTGCCATTAAATTCCTTTCTTCAGAAGGAAATGGCTTTACTTTGTTGTGTAGCAAACTTTCCTTCTGAATGGGAGAATTCACTCTGGAATCTGTGGTTCACTGACCTCACACCTTCAGTTAGTGACCTTAAATTGCCCAAGTGCTGATGTGTAGACAAGCTCTCAGGACAAATGATGTTCCCGGTGAAATAAAACTTGGTTCAGCTGCTACCAGTGACTCGTAAGCTGGGAGTAAGATGGAAAGCATCATAAATTCATCTGTGCCTTGCAGGCAGGATCATATGCTTTTCAACTGGCATAGCCAAAAATGTGTTTGTACATAGATATCATTCCTTCCCAGTGGTAGTCATTGAACAGATTCTGTTCTACATGCCAATGGTCTGTGAGAGAGCAGGTGTTTCTATATCTAACGTACTCCAGCTCTGAACCACAGGCTGTTATTTTGACTTGGGATCAGGACATATTCATTCCAAAGTCTATGACCCTCACTGCCATAAATACTTCTTTTTTTGTTGTTGTGGTCCTTGATGTTTTGTGTCATTTTAAAGAAAAGGTCACCATTATAGTCGTCTCTATTTGATTCAAGTGATTTCCATAATCTACTTCTTTGGGRCTAATGATTCCCCTTTTTAAGAAAGACTGATTTAAAAGAATTGCATACAAGTGTTGAACTGATTCTCATTCAGTCAGGTGGGGGTGTTGGTATTGCTGCTGGGTACTACAGAAAAGGTGAAGTTAGGGGGTCTTAGCTGGAAATGCTGAAACGCAGTGTTCAAAAAGGAGACTTTCTTATTTGAGTTTGTGCATAATTGTAATGTACAGGGAGAAATGAGTAGCATGTACGTACATGCCTTACTACTAACTGACAAATCTGAAAGCACTTGAGTTAATGAAATTCTCTCAGGCATCCCTGTGAGGTAGGGAGGACACATGGTATCCAAGGGTCATATCATTTGTGAAAAAATGTAGTTACCTGAGGTGTTCTCAAGGTGGGTTTGTTTGGACCGATGTCCAGCCCCTTTTGTGTTACATTTGAAGAACTCTCTGTGATTCTGAATTGCTGGGAATGGCAGTAGAAAAACTGGTGGTAAAGGAGTGATGAGGTAAGGGAGATTATTTCCAAATTTAAATTTCAGGGTGTAACAGGCTAGGACTTTCTGAACTGGGCATCTGTCATGAAGCCTCTGTAGCTCATGAGGATCTCCCTGTTCCTCTGGAACATTAGATGACAAGTAGTCCCAGCTCTGCTTCACCTTGCCCCTAGTTCACCTTGTCAGCAGATGTCTCTGAGGATTCAGTTTCACCCTGTCGGGCGAGCAGAAATAGCAGCTTACTGTCACCAAGAGAGGGATGTGCAGGTCCCTCATCTCAGCCCTGCCTTTCTGCTGGTGCTGCAGTTCTGCCTCTTACCTTGTGCTACTGTTAGCAGCTGTTGGATTCCTCTGCAAGCCCATTTAGTTCCTGGAAGCAATAAGAAAAAAAACTGATAGGGAAAAAAAAAAAGGATTTTAAACAAGTAATCAAAAAAAGGATTTTAAACAAGTAATCTGTTATCACCAAAGCTGATGGAGCATGACTTTCTACATGTTGTGTCTTGGGACTGATGGCCACACTTTTTTAGTGAGGCCTGAAGTCTGTCAGAAGGATGGACAATAACTTTCCTRTGTGCAGATTCTCCTATTTGTGGAAATATGTGGGCATTCTCCTGGAGGATAAAGCAGAGTCTTCTCCTTCTGCCTATTTTCGTAAAAGTTACTGGACCTAAACATTTTAACAGGATGTTTAAAAATGTTCTGGTTTAAAAATGTTCAGTTAAAAATGTTCTGCTCCTCTGTCCCATGTGCTGGAATGGGCCAACATTTTATTGAGATACAGGGTGATTCCAYTGGCCTCTTTTCCATTGAAATCCAGGTAGGAACAGGGAGCCAGGGGTGAGCTCCCAAAARTCTATCCCAAGGTGTTCCAGAAACAAAGAAAAATACACAGTAGRTCATTGCAGCACTTACCTTCCTGGTCCCTGCCGCCTGAGCAGGATCCTAAACCCTTTCATGGCTCCAGTTTGAGGAAGGAGACAGACATTGCAGAACAGTCATTGCAGCTGTTTTTTCATCATTCCAAACCCCACAGTGCTACTGGTTTTCCCTCTTCCATTGAGCAGAGCAGTGACTCACCTTTGATCAGATCAATTCCTGAAGATGTGAATGTGAATCTCAATTTAGRTTGTCCAAGCTCAGTGTGAACGTGCCAGCTTTATTTGGATTGCTCAGCTGCCAAAAGCAAAAGAATAATGCTGAAGCATCACACTTCTTTTGAGAAGTAGCTTCACAGCCCATCTTTCCTGGCTTCCCCACACATTCCAAATGCAGGAAACTGCTGGGCAGGAGGCCTTGTCCCATGGCTCTGCCCTGACCAGGGCTGGGAATCCTGCAAGGGAGGATAGTGCTCTGTAAGCACAATGCTTTGTACCCCACTCACTTGCTGATAGGGTGATCTGCCATGGTGAGATGCCTGATCTTTCCTCACAGTGCAAGGTTCTGGCCATATCATTTTCTGTTTGAGTGGACAGAAAAGGAGAGAGGAACACAACGCTGGACACACTTCTGGACACATTTGTGTGTGTACATAGGCAAGGAGAAGGCAGTACGAGTTAGCAGAACACCTTTTATGCATATAATTACCAGMATCCAAGTTTGACAAGTCCAGGARAAAGCCAGGCTTGCTGGGTGCCCTTTGCAGGCAGACACTCAACTGATTTCTGTATTATTTTGCCTCAAGTTCCCAGAAAACACAAGGGTTTAGTGTTTCCCAAGCAGGTTGCCAAATTATTAATAAATTTACTCCCTCTACACCCTGGAGCAAGCAGTACAGTCTGTGGCACAAAGTGAGCACTTTGCAGGTGAATGCAGGGCTCTCTGCCAGCAGCTCCTGCTAGCAGAAGGTGGGGATCTCAGCTTCACAGCAGTGACATAACCAAGAGCAGTAAAACCTTTGCATTTTATACTCACATACAACTTTGGTAGACATCATCTGATTCAAAGCTGTGCAATTGAAATGGTGACTTGTCAAGGTGCTGAAGTTGGTCATGCTCAGAGATGCCTGTCATAAAAAAAGGAARATAATTATTTTAARGTAGAGCATTGAGAAAAACTTAGTGAGATGAAATTGAGAGGCTCACCAGTTGCACTACTCTTGGAAGAGAGATTAAAAGTGCARYACAGGACWGAAGGCAGCTGCAGAGTTGAAGGTTTTGAAGAGAAAAGGAGCAGCAGAGCTGCTGCTTTGCCTCAGGTACAATAGCAGGTTGAGCAAATCACCTACAAAAGGCTGATACATTTTCAGCCTCCACAATTTCCCCCTCTCAACCATCCCCTACTATAAAATACATACTTAAAAGCCTGAAATTCTTATTTTACAGGCTTTTGGAAGWAGCCTATGTCATGAAGGATCCTTTCACCCCTGACAAGGACAAATTCCTCACCASTGGGTCTCRCTGCAGTTTGTGCAGCAGAGCAGARTGCATTGGTACAATGAGTATRAGCAAAACAAGCTGCTTAAGTCATTTCTTTTTGTTCCAGTGACCTGTCAGAGAAAGATCAAGCAACAAAACCCCAGACAGTCAATTTTTAAGGCAAACCATTCCCCCTTGTCCTACCACTATGTGTATGTTAATTGTACATAATTGTATCTTCTTGTGGATCCCCCCAGATGATTTAATTCTCGTATTAAATTAAAATTAAAGTTGCAAGTGAGCAGGGCAGCAAGTTGTACCATGCCATGCTTGCTTTCTGAAGAAGAATGAATTTAAGTAGAAGCTGAAAGGCAACCTTAAACTGTGAAATCTGAGTGCAGCCCAGAAAGGTGGTGTAAAATTACAGTTGTCTCAATTCCTTCTTCTCAGTGCAGATCTGGCCCCATTTTTGTCTGTGAGTCTCAAGTTTTGGTGGTTGGGCTGACACAGCCAGCAGGATCTTGGCACACCCGGCCCAGTTTAGTTGCTWTTCTGACCTGTGGGCGGTCAGCACCAAGGATGGGCCAAGAGGAGCCTGCAATAGCACCTTTCTCCTGGTTGGGTTTGTTTTTCCCATGTCAAAGAAATTTCTCACCCCAGGTGTCCCACAGCAGAGCAACAGTCTTCCAATTTCAGGAAAAAAAGGTTCAATAATTGAGTGGTGCAGCAGCAGGAGGGGCCATGAATGAAGGAATCCCTGGGCCTTTACACCCCTACAGTCTGGGCACCCGTTCCCATGGGGAATTTGGGATCTGGGCTCTTCCTGCAGAGCCTCGGGGTGAGCAGAGAGCAGTGCAGGGCCCTGAGCCCTTTGTTAGGAAAAGGATCCATGCCCATTACCAGCTCGTTGCTGGGGGCTCCAGATATTTCCTGCAACTGGGAGCTCACACACCCAGCTACGTGCACTGGGRGTATTTCTCCATATCTCCATATTTTACCTCTGAAGTCTCTCCTGACATTKCAATGACTGAAAATCACCAAAAGCGATTGCAACTCTGAGGGTTTGGGTTTCTTTTCTCTATTTTAAGTACAAGAGGGAGTTGTAGGCTCTGACCAAGTGGRTGCTGGATGAAACGCTGGCACTCTCTGGTTGTGGTGCAGTGGCTGAGCTTGATTTTCAGGGCAATTGTGTGGAGGCAGAGCTCCCATGTGAACAGAATCTTCCCAAAGGCACTGTCCCTTTGGGGTCCCCAGGACTACTGTCCCCTTTGGGGTCCTCACAGCCCAGTGAAGAGCTCAGTGCAGCTCCTCAGAGAGTCGGGGCTCAGGGGATCCATTCCTGCTTTGTCCTTTTTTAACAACAGAGGGTTGACAGCACAGACACATTGGGGACAAACTTGAGCACATTCAACTGTTCTCATTCCCAAATGAAATGTCTGGAATTTAGGAAGAATTCAGCAAATATTTCCAAGTGTGGCAGTTCGAGCTGTCAGAAACAGAGCATTTCATCCTCTCAGGGYCTTTGCACACACTGAATGAAGTGAATTTCTGTGGAAAGATGTGTTTGTTTCAGTTAACCCAGGCCTTGGCAATACACAGAAGATACTCACAGAGAGCTAATGGAAATCTCTTTGAAAGTCCTGCTTATTTTGCTCATTGTGGAAATTTGTCAATCATTTGCTGCTTGTTATCTGAGTTTTCAAGATTCCCCTGATGGTATCACTCAAAGTAAAGTATTGATTGTAAATAATTGAGAATACATTTCCTACCAAACTGGCCAGGCCAGATAGTGAATCACACATATGACTATGGTTTCAAAATGTATTTGGCAATACTGCTTAGGTAACATTGAAAGAGATCTGCAGAAAAGATAATTAGTGCTTTAAACACCCACACCACAAAGTGAGTAAACACATACTATTCCCCTTTCATGTAGGGAAATGAAAAATCCAGAGAAGTTAAAACTTATCCAAGGCAATAAAGAGAGACAAAGTCAGGATAATGTTTCTGTATTTGATTTGGTTCCTGCTTGTGCTTGACCCAAGCAGATCAACTCAYCCCTGGGCCAAGTTAAATGTAAAAACACAGGAATTGAAGCTGAAGAAAATCATACTTTCTTGGGCCCCTTTGGCAAAGAAGCTGGGCCAACTGGAAAGGTTTTAGTGACCTTTTAATATTACGGTAATTCAAAATAGCACTAGGCTAATGTGTGGCAAAATTAAGACTTTTTTGCCCTTGGATTTGGCAAAGGGATTTTATCTAGCTTTTGTGCCTCAGGAGCCTTAGAGACAGATCAGATTGTAGGCTTTTCCTGAGACAAGCCCTGCTAGCTGAAGTGTATTTCCTTACAGTTGCTGTGCCAATAAAAGTCACGACTTAGCAGCTGTTCTCTATAGTGCTCATAAACTTAAATATCTTCAAATACCCTCTGAAGTTTCACTCAGTTAATTTACTTCAATCGTTTTGTAGCCTGTATGACCCTGCTCAAGTCTTTTATCACAGTGCCTTGCTAGGTGCCATTAGTTCTGATCCAACTGGGAATAATTCTAATCATTATCTATAATGTCTTAAAACACATCAAAACCCCACAAAAAGGAAGATAATAGAAATGCTTTTAAAAGTCCTTGGGCAGGTTGAGTGCCCTTCCTCCTATTACCCTTTCAGAAAAGGGGAGAGGAAATGAAATAATCTGACCGTATTAGTCATTTAAAAGTTATTTCTGTTTTATTGCTAAAGGGGGAARGAAGAGGAGGCTTTTGGAGAAGAAAGAAGGAAAGGGAGCAAGCTTCATTCCTGACTGCTCACCTCAGCAGAAGGTGACTGAACGCTGACCTTGGACATGGCTGTAGGTATTAAGTGGTAAATGTAACACTCCAGCTGCTTTCCACTCAGCTCCCAGTCATGTGGGGTCAGCCCTGGACACRGATGGGCAGAGCCTTTCCTTCATGGATTGGGGTGAAGATGCCATCCCTGTGTGTATTGCTTTCAGACRTGATTCATGTCAAAGCAGAAATAAACCCTGGCAGCATGCTTTGGCAGCTCAGTTTTGCCTGAATTGGACTATTACAGCTAAATTTTAAAAGGCCCCCTCCTGCCTTGGTCACAGAAGGAGAAAGCACATTAAAGAACAGTCTGATTAAACACAACTGGATACAGGTTTAAAAGAACTCTACGTAGGAAGTTTAATTCATAGGGCGCTGAGAGAAGAGTTAGGCTGAAAATCCCAGGAGTGAGAGAGCAGGACTAAGGGTGCATGGACCCAGCTCTCAGGGGTGCAGTGGGTCAGCCATGATTTACCAGCCCCTGTTGGCCAAAATCAGMACCAGCTGGCAACTGCTTTCAGCCAAAAGAATGCAAGCTGAGCACTTGGGTTTACCTGTGAGGAGCTGCATCTKRACATGGGGGATCCCACCTRCAGGAAAAGCCTCTCCCCTCCTTTRCCATGGCYCTGTGGCCWCCCTTGGAGCCCTGAGCCTTGGAGCTGGGGGCTGGGTGCCATTTGGCAARGCAAGCAGCAACAACAGGGCCAACCTAAACTCTAATCTCCCCTTYTAAACTGGCAGCTTAATGTATTAAGGATACCAAGAGACAAAAAACAATAGGCTCTGGAGGTTGTGCAACCAAAATCCACTTTCAGGGCTTTTATGAGACCAAGGCCTCGCACTCACTTCTGAATGAGGAGGGGCCTGGCAGTCAGCGCAGAAAAGGACAATAGATAAAGAGGAGTTGTTCCTCAAGCTTCCAAGTCACATGGAAGCAGGATGATTGTGATTTTGGTATAATTATCAGCTGAATCTGCTGCTAAAGTCTAGATAGTGGTAGAGGAAACAAAAGCAAGGACAGGGACACAGGAACAGCCARGCCAAACTCCCAGAGAAAGGCCAGCTGCAAATGACCATGGCAAGGGGAAAACTTTGTTATTTAGGTAAGACCCAGGAATCCATTTCTCCCCAAAAGATGTCCGTATCTATCTAAACTGATGTCTTTATTCAAGCTTAAATCCCCAAGAATAATCCATCAGCAACCAGCTCCAGCTTACCCATGAAATCCTGTTTGGAATTTGGTGATCAGCGCGTCAGGAGAACCATGGACGTCAGTCTCGCCACGGGGCAAAGGAATAATACATTAATTAGCTTCTCTTCCAGTTGTTCAGACTCTACATTGCAAATACATTAAAATACTCCATCAGTTTTGCTTCTTTCTATTCAATAACATCTGGTTACAACTCCTGGGGAAAAAATAAATATTGGGTCTGCACCAGCTGTGAATGGAACAGGGACAGCAAAAATACWTCCTTTGTGCACAGCTGCTTTTGTACTTTGCCATCAAGAGTTTAGGAAAGAGCCATCAGCACAAGCTTTAGTACCAGATGTGTTTTAAGGTTTCAACCAGTGAGTACATTTATTGAGGGTAAGGGATGAAATCTCGTTTGAATTGTCTCAGCTGAATRGAGCTCATTTAGCTATTCTGGTTATTGGACATCTCTGTGACATTGATGTAGCAGTGACAATTTTTAGAGTTCTCCCAGGACAACGCAAGTGCATGGATTAATGGAAGTTGGAGTAGTTTATTTGGGAGTTGTGGAAAAGATGGTCTGTTATGAGAGCCCCCAGTTCTTGGCACTTTTGTTCACTTTTAGGCTGTTTTTGTGGAGATTGGTGCTGAGACTTCAAGTCTCACAGACCACTGCAGGATTTTAGAAGATCCTCCCAGAGGTAGAAATGTTCATCAGCCAAGATTTAGAGGAAAACTTTGCTGTTTCAGTAAAACCCATGGAATTTCTTCTACCTGTATTCATGTCTAACTCTCCAAGAATAATCCATCAGCAGCGCCAGCTCCAGCTTAGCCATGAAATCCTATCTGGAATTCAGTGAGCAAGCCAGGAACCACGGATGGTGCTGGGAGGAGAAGGCAGCTGAAGAAGGGCTGCTGCTATTCCCTGGAGCAGGGAGCTGGTGAAGGTCACTTTATTGGAGCAGTGGGACAGATGATTTGGTTTGTGCTTACTACAGACACGGGGTTTATTTTTCACCCAGTTTGATGTTAGAATTATTGAGCAAGAAAAAGTAAAATTGCTGKAATATTTCAGCCTAGAAGATGAATCCATTTTAGAAGAATTCTAAATATAAATGTAGTTTAATGACTGGAACTTAAACATTTCCATTTTGTGCATCCTGATAGTGATGTTATTTTCTTTATAGCACTGTAGTCTATTCTACTCTGAAAAGTTCTGCTTCCCCTGTGTGAAGGAGAACCAAAAGGCCTTTCCTTTGGAAATACAAGAAGAGATGGATAAAAGGGAGCCCCAGCAGAAATCCTGCAAAAAAAAAAAAAAAGGACACAAAGCATAAATCCTGACAGACCAAGAGCGACAGTTCTTTGGCTGGGCTTTCTGCTCTCTCTATTTGCAGACTATCATGTTGCTCCTTTTAAAGAAGTGACCTTCATCAGCATTTCCTCGCCTGGGCTTGGCTTCAGACATCCCCGTGCAGTGCCTGCCGTGCCGGGGAGCGGCTCCAAGGTGCTGAGGAGTGGGGAGGAAGGCAGAGGAGCCTGCTGTCACAGTGTGAAATGCTTGCAGTAAAAAAACCAAACAGCACAGAGCATTGGAACCAYGTCCAGATTTTCACATTTGCTGTTTTAGTGCTTTGTGTTGTTCTTGACACTCGTACAGTGTTACGAAAATCTGAGATGGATTGATGTGGCTCAATTCAGTACGTACTCCAGAAAGYGAGTGTAACACCAATTGTTCATCTGGCAGTGCTGTCCTGGCAAGATGGCATTAGGCATCTTTGTTTTTAATTCTAAAATCAAAGTGCAGTGAGAAAACGTCATAATACCCACATTTTTCAATATGGTAATCTCAATGCTATCACAGCACTGAGACTTCTAAAGGTTGATACTTCTACAGTCAATAGAAATATTTACAATTCCCCTGCACTTGCAGCCACTTTTCTCTTAACCTTCCAGTCCATGTCAGCACAGCAACTGGAGAGGACTCTGAATACATTGGGTTTGTGCTTTACAATARAGGTGACTTCCTTTTCACTTTCACAGCAGCTAATCTGGAAATAGAAAAGTTCCACTAATAAACTCAATTCTTTCCTGAACTGCAGCTATAATAGGTATGTCAGAAACAGAATTTCAGGCATAAAAGTTAAAAAGTTGTTGCAGAAACAGCAATTTGTTTACCTCAGAAATTAGCTTCTCCATTACCTGTTTTGATTGTCTTAAGATTTAGGAAACTTTTATGTAAAACCAGTCAAGGATATGTGTAGAATGCTCCCTAATCCCCAAATCACCTTTTTGACTCTAGTTATTGTTGGTCATTGGCTGTTAGTGCCTTGGTTAAGGTCTCTTTTTTCCAACTCTTCAATCCATATAATTTGTAATAGGACAACATCTAAAATACAACATTTTAGTARAATGAACATGGGTCTGTTAAAAGAAATCAACATTATTTCAATGAGTTGTTTAGGACATAAAGTGAACTAAAATCTTCATTTTTTTTTGAACTTAGTATATTGGAGCCCTCTGTTCAGGACTGAAATTTCTAGCAGAGGAGCCATAATGGACCTATTAGTAGCCTTTTCAAGCCCTAAGTGCTTTAAGAAATAAAATATAAATATGTCTCTGATTGTGGGGAAAAAAAAAATCCATGTTGGGAGTGAACATTTCAGATTCCTTTTTGCAGTAACAAAAGACTATGCTTTCAAGGAAAGTGATACGTTAGAGGGGTGGTATTGTATTTCAGTTTCGTGTTAGGCTGAGTTTAAAAGCTGTGGTGTGTCAGTGTCTGCTCTGTASAAACACCAGAGGCACCTCCTGTGCTGAACCCACACTGAAGAGAGCACCTTCCCACCTGGGAATTGCAGCCTCATAACCAAACTGCCAAAGCAAGGGCTGTGTGAGATTACTGGGTATGTTCCTACCAGCAAACATACATCCAAACGTTTTAATTCCTGCATTTCACATTGTTCATGGCAGGTTGTTCTCTCAGAAGCAGATTTTAAAATGAACTGGCAAGTGCAGTTCCTGTGTCAGTGAGAATGGGATCTCATCCCTCTGAGCTGYTTTCCCTCCTGTACAGCTTCCTCTGTGCCCTTTAAGGCAAATGCAGTTATCTCATTTTTTCAAAACCACTATCTTTGCCTTCATGATATGACTGAGGAGTCACTTAAAGCCCTCAGAAATTGTCCTGCCTTTAAGCACTTGCTACTGGAAGGGGAGAAGACACAGTATTAAAAGGGAGCAGAACCTCAGAGCAGARCTGCAGAATTTTTAATTTGGCTCGGTACAGCTCAGTTATTTATCATACAACAGRAAAATCCAAGTCAGGGATGCCTCTGCTTCACAGTTACATGGGTGTGAAGCCCTGGTAGGTGAAGAATAGCCAGAAGCACACGCGTTACTCGTTGAATTTCATGCATTGAGTTTCTTCCCTGGAAAKAAAAGATCAGCACAAGTAATTTAATTCACTTTTAAAAATAGTTTATTTTTTTAAAACCATTAAGGCAAAACTGTGTTTCAAATTAAGTTGGTTTACATTCAGTCTGAAAGGATTACTTTTTTTAAAGCACATMGGTTCCTACCAGTCTCTATACAAACACTGTGAATTCAACCTCTTATTTTTAAAGAAGGCAGAAAAAAAATCAGAATGTAAAAAAGAAAAAAATATTTAGTTCAAGTTTTTTCATCCTATATCAGTAGGCTGGTAACGTTTGAGAATGCATCATTGTGTGTAGCTAAAKGTGACTCTTACATTCACAAGTATAAGATACGTTGTCTTTCCTAAAACCCCTGCGAGACCAGGGCTTCCATTCGTTCTTGGAAGTGCCATTTGCATTGTTCTAACAGAAAGAAACTTGGGAACTTGGCTTGAATGAGTGGTTTTTACTGGGAAACAAGCATTCCATGAAAATTACGTTGGACTACTCCTTGCAAGAAATGTCTGCACATTCTACGTTCTATTTACTGTGGTAAAATGTACCTGAAATCTCCTAAATACAGGTGACTGGAAAGAATAAACTGTTTTGTTTTCTCTTTAATATTGATATCTTGATTTAATTAAATTACTTAGTTTTATTGATTAGGGTTTGGCACCATTAACAACACTGTGCTGTTTTTGTCCCAGCAGGTAACAGAMAATTTCAGATGTGAGGGAGGGCTTCAACATTGCGATGCACTGAGGCTGYGGGGCTGCAATCCTACAAAGTCTGAGCAACTGTTTGTAAGAGTTGTGGAACAGGAGCAGCTCCCCCGAGACGCTGCTAAACCAGACTTTGTCAAACCACCGAGAGGGAGGGGGCTCTGGAGCACATCCACAGCACCGAAACACCGGTGAGATGTAAGGAGTAAGTAAACCATGCGTGTTCCTCCTCCCCTGCAGGGCAAGGCACTGAGTCTCCACGGAGAGAGATGCTGTGGGTATTTCAGTCAGGCAGGATTCTCCCATCCTGCCAATCTCTCTTTCAAGTGTWAAGAATGCCATGAAACTCCTGGCTTTAAGCATAAAACCTTATAAGACCATGGTGTCTTTACCACAACAGGGATTATGGTACCTGCATCTCCAACCTGTGAAAATACACCAAAATACTGCCAAACGACTTCAAGTACCTTCTGCTTGATCTTGCAGTCCTTATTTAAGGTTCAGCCTGTAATCAGATCAGTCTCTTGTGCGTGCTGCCTATCCCCTGGCACAGGCAGCTCATCTGAAATTTAGGTCCTTGCAACAGGAATTCTATTTCGAAACATCCTCAGCAATGGAATCTGACAAGATTGACTGACGCAATAAAGGAGCTCAAGAAAAAAAACAAAAAAAAACCACCTCAACTTCAGAAGCAGACAAAGATTTAAAAAACTGTGAGTGAGCACAATAGAGACAATAGAGAAATGGAAGGAGGGAACAGCCTTCCTTAGGGTGGGCTCAGTTACACACAGGGTTTGTGTCGTGTGAAGGGGCAGTGCAAAGGAAGGGGCTGAGGTCAGMACAGGGAAATTCAGCAGAGCTTTTACAAACATGACACAAACACCTTAGGAGAYARCATACCTGTCTGGAGACACTGAGGAATTGAAAATGCCAATTGCAGCAATTCGAGGAAATTAAATGTTATCTGCTACAAATAAAAAGCAGTAAGTTCAAATGATCGCTAGAACATTTGTAATAKATTGTGCTTGTGATAGCTGCTGTGTTTGGTGGCTCACACAGCAAAACAAAAGGTAGATACCTTTGAAAGGTACCTTTGTCCCTCTATGAGATTTCCTTAGCAGGATGCTGTAGGCACAGACTGTCACACCTGCATGCACCAGATACAGAATCCCTACAAGCAGACTCTGAATTCAGCTCTATTTAAAATCCCACAGGAACCCTCCTGTAGGGAAGCCAATAATGCCATTTCAACATTTTGTTTTGCGCTGCCAAGTCACGTTCAAAAATGTATCTATAAAAGCAGCAGCTCGCCCTCAGGGCAGGTGGCAGGGAATAATCTTGAGTACAAGTTGTTATTCCCAGTGAGCCACGAGTCAGATCCTCAGAAAACACCGGCGCTGGTGCACGAACCAAATGCAGCTTCTTTTTAGCTCTTTTCAAAGGAAAACGAGATACCAGGCAGCCAAACAAAGATGAACTCACTTCTACACACTGTCTTTCATACTGGTGTTAAAGTTAAACTTGAGTTAAAAACTTGATTTTGGGACTGCAGRTCTTCCTCAACAAGACTTGCTTTCATTAAAACTAAATAAAAGGAAGTCTATGTTCTATGTGAAAATACATTTTAAAGTTTTGTTATTACTGTCAAYACCAAACATTGATAACTTTGCAGAATTTGTGAAACTTCTTCACAAATGATACAGCAATAAAGACCAGACAGGAATAAATAGCAATTCATCTTTGACATCAGCCCCTTCCATCCTTAGCCCATAAAAGTAAATACTTCYTCACTGTACAAAGGGTTTGCAAGATAAAGTATGTAACAAATATTTAAATTAAATAATTTACACATTTTTCTTAAAGCACCTCTGTAATTAATTTAGTGAAATTTTATGCCTTGCAATTATATTCTTGTATTTTACAAATTGAAACATGGAAAAAATGGTATTACATTAAATTAAAAAAATCCCACAACACATAATAATATCAATAATCTTAGATCAAACCCACATATAATTTAAATCTCCAGTAAAAGAACTATAATAAAGCTGATTAAACCCAGATACAAAAATTATATGCAACTGATTATCAGGAAAGCACTTGGGACATAAGCAAGTACCAGATACCACACTCCACCTCACATTCCAACTCTCCCTGAAGGACGAGGGGTTTCTGAGAGAAACCATTATTTGTAAGACCTTATGCTTAATCTGTACCACGACAGCTGCAAATGCAGTTGCAGATTTTCAACTCAGTCACAGGGAGCTTTTCAGGACAGACTGAAACTGTTCCTGTACAGCCACAGCGGGATCTTCCCAACYGCTCTGCCTCAGATGGAACCTACATTTGTCCAGGCTTTCCATCGGAAATAAAGAGGAAATTGAAACTCAACCATTTGTGACCCAGCTCTCGTGACGGATAAATCTCCCCAAGTTCCAGCAGTTTGAACAAACAAACAAATGTTTAGATGCTTATTGTAAGCTCTTTGATGTGCAGCCTCGTGCCARCTCTCTCATGAGAACGGGCTTAGTGCAAGCGCCGGAATTTCCGAGATCCACACACAGCTCTGCTGCTGGCAGTGCCCCAGCTCTGCACAGAGCACAGAGGCACCTGGAAATGGCAATTTGTACAAAACAAGGATTCTTTACACACCACCAAAAGTGCACTTTTATACAGAACAYGGATCCTTTACACGCCACCAAAGGTGCACTTTTATACAGAACAYGGATCCTTTASACGCCACCAAARGTGCACTTTCATACAGAACACGGATCCTTTACACACCACCAAAGGTGCACTTTCTGAAGTGGAAACTTTCCAGGTGTCAGTTTGTGTTTAAAGCAAAAGTGGGATCTGAAATTTAACAAGGTACAAAGATTTTTCTTAATTTTCTTAAGATTTTTCTTGAATGGCAGCTTTAAAGAAAATATTTAAGGAGGAGAGAAGAATGGACATCAGATTTCCCTAATATTTGGCACAAACCTTTCCTTTTTTCCTCCCCTTCCCCTTTGACAAAAAAGTACCTAGGGCACCCCAATAAATAAATAAATAAATAAATAAAATTTCCCCCAAACAATGCTCAAAAATGAGTAATCTGCATGTTTGCTGAAAACTTCCAGGATATTTCCCTATTGAACTGCTGTCCCTTGCCTTAAGCTGGTAGTGGTGCCTGGCTGCTAACCAGAGTTCTTCCATGCTATGACAGTAAAATGAGAGTTATATTGGCAAGAATCAGATCCAAACTGCACCTTATGAGCCAATAAATCTTTAATACAGTTGTAATCCTAAAATTTGATCACTTTACTTCCCTCCATAGATGGGGTATTTTAAAGTATTCGTTTATCTGCACGTAGGGGAAATGCTGAAGTAATAGATCAGAAATACACCTGAGACTAGTTCAGATTCCAAACTTCAAAAAAATGGACACAAATCGAGTAATTGTAAAATCTCCTTGGCCAAAGCCTGCTGTAGTCATCTCCTGAAGGAGAAAATGCAATTCCATAAAAGCAGAACATAGAAATGAGGAGTTCTTTTTCCCATTAATTCTCAGAAAGGGAATTGTCTGCCCTGTGCCACAGGGCAGCAGTGTGGGCAGTGCAACCCACCCAGAATTTTAGGCTGTGTTAACATCTTGTTCATATTTCTGTAATTCAGAGATGCATTCTGGGTTTTTTTTTTTTTTCCCTCATTAAGGGTCTGCAATTAATTTAAAACAGAAATTAAACTTTAGTGCCCAAGGAAGTAGTCAAAAGTTGTATGTTGGTTTTCAAATAACAAAAAAATTATGGTAATAACAGGACCATGTTACAAGCAGCTGCTAAAACAGCAAAATTCAGTCTTTCACTGAGTTATTCTATTTTCAATTCTTTATAGCTTTGCTGAGACTTTAAGTATTTATAATTAATTTTTCCATGCTTTTAAGTATTATTGAAGTGTTCTGGCCAATTTTGAGAATAAGAGCAGGAAAAATAGCTGTGCATACTGGCTGTGTTTGATTTTCCTGAGAACCTACAATACAACCAGATTATGGAATACAACTTTGAAATTTGCCCTTGGAAAAATCTGAGCTTTGGGGGGAAAAATTTCAAGTCTTTTTTTTTTCGATGATAAACTAACAGTTGCCTCCTAGRGTTTCAGAGCACCATCCCAGAATGGCTGATATTTGCACAACTTTTTGCATCAGCAATAATGCAAATCAATTATTTCCACGGCCTAAACCCCACAGCTCTTTAGTGAAGCAGGGCTGGGTGGGAAAATAAAGCAGTAGCATTCCTAAAATCCTCTCTTTGTTTCTGTGTGCTCTGGGACACAAAAGGCAGCTGGTTTCTCATCTCAGGGCTCCTGGCAAGACCAGCAGTCCCCTCCTGTAAGTGTTTGAGGCCTGTTCTTCCTGCTGCCAACAGAGAAGGGGAGGAAATTTTGTGCAAATGCAGTTTCTGTTTCTATCCTGCCCTAGATGCTCACCAAATTTGAGGCCTCAATATTTTACACTAAATATATCCATATCTGTAACTTCTGCCACAATCACTGCCTGGACAAATCCCATGTTGCCTTTAAACCTGGGATTTTTCCAGCACCCAGCTGTGCCCCCGAGCCTGGACAGAAACAAGAATTTCCACTGAAACAGGAATCACTGCGTGATGTTCTCCCTTCAGCACTCAACYCTTGCAGGGAAGGTTCTGGTGCTTCAAATGTGCTGCAATCAACCAAGACCAAGTATCCCCCTGTGCCCCTGAAAGGTTCACTGCACTGGAAATGCTGGGATTGACTCCAGAAAGTAAAATCAGGAGGTAATAATGTGAAGTTRCAAAAGAAACTTCAAAGAACATCAAAGAAACAAAAAGGAGGAGGAACAGCAGAGCCTTGCTGGCACTTCTGGGCAGTGCTCTCTGAGAAAAGAGCCCATGGAGAGGAAAAGTTAGGAGGTGTTTCCTTATGGCTTGATTGGAACCAGGAGCAGAGCAAGTGCTGCTGTAAAAATAATTTATTTACTYGTAGGAGCACAATAAACTCAGTCTCAACTGTGCTGCCTGAGTCTGACACCCACAAACACTGCTCTTGGTGATACCGTCACCTTCTCCACAAGGACAAAATCTGGTGGAAACACGCAGCAAATGCTTCTGTCAATGAGGGCTAAGAAGGAATAGAAACAAATGTATCCAAGCGGGTAAAAAATGAAGCAGTGCATTCATCAGAAAAGTAAACAGGTCCAAACAGCTACACTGCCAAGACACTTCAAGGAAGCAGGTGCCTTCCTATCCCATCATTCATTCAGAGTCACCCATCTCTGCAGTAGAATGAAGTAATCACTGCTGGAAAGTTAAAATTATTTTTTTTTTCTGGGGCAGGATCAGATTTTTCAGTCTCTCCAAAACTCTTGYTAATTCAAAATAGTATTTTTATGTCAAAATTGCATCTTGAGCTATTATGAGTTTTACAAAAATACACGGTTTTAAATTTTTTTAATTTTTCCTCAGTGATATTTTGACATTTCCTTAAAAGACTTTTTAGAAAAAGGTTCCATCAGTTCATCACGTCTACTCTTCAAGAAACACTGTTGGAATATCTCTGCTGTATTTTAGATAACTCTTTGGATTTTGTTTAATTTCATAAAAGAACCATCTTTTAAACATGCTAACCCTAAGTATGCCAACGTAACATTATACAAAGCTGTACATCATTTCATAGAACTAAAGCAGCAGTGGATCAAAGATCTTTCCAATTTTTAACAAGTGTGTGGACAGTAACATCCAGCCATTTGCTACACCTAGACTTGAGTGCTGTAAGAAAAAGTGTTAGCTGGTTCTCAGTAATTACCATTAGGCAAAAGTGCATCATCTTTCTGATTGTGCAGATACCTGGAAGGAAGGTGCTGAATTTGTTACGTTAATACTAAAATGACTAAGCCAAGAGGAAAWACAATTTTGTTCATTTCTGTTGCTTAACATTCTGATTTATTATACAAATATGTATTCCTTACCAATCTTCAAATTTCCAAATGAAAGAACCATTGTAAGACACTTCACTGAGCACTCTGACCAGTATTTTTCTCAGCACTCTTTCAAAAGAAGACAAAAGATCCCAAACCAAAAGAAGTGTAACACTCCAGTTCCCCAGTTTTAGATTTTTCCTGCTCTGGGCCGAGTGAACAGCACGTAACTGTGCAAGTAGTTTTGCTCCCATCTGTGTTTCTCTGTCTTTAAATATTGTGGAAAAAATACTAAAAATCCTTAATACATATCCCTGTAGATTTCCTGTAGTAAAGGGTGTAAATGTGCATCAGATTCAGTCTTCTTGATTATCTGAACGAGCTGAGCATGCTCTGTGACAAGCTGTCGGAGGTCAGCCATTTTTTGGAGAAGTTTTGGGAAGAGGAAGGTGTCGTCGGGATGGTTGGTTTGCAAGTGAAGTTTCAGTACATGCACAATGCTCTCCTGCATTTTTTCAATGTGTCCTACATTTACAAGACCAGGACGATCTGTTCTCAAAACAAGCAAAAGAACACATGTCATAATTGGATAATGATTCCTTAAAAGTGTAGTTAGTGGTAGTATTGAATCTTCCAGAGGATAGAAGTTTTTCCATTAAAATTATTAATTCATGAGAGGGAAATATTGAAACTTACTACCTTAGAGAACGAATATGCAATGCTTACCTCCACAGCAAATAATGGCAGCAACAAAAAGGGATATATCGCTATCATCCAAATCCAGTGCATTGAATTTCATTGCAAAATCAAATTTTGGCTCCATTATGTCACAGAATGGCTTTCTCAGGCTCTTCAGGAACTCGCGGGTTATAAAACCGTTCCCGTAGGCCACCAGCATGCCGTCCTTGTTCATCACTGAGGCCAGCATGGCAAATATGGCTTCATAGACCCCGTACTTCAGCAGCGTCACCTGATCGTTCARGTCCAGGTTGGAGAAGCCAGGGATGGATTTGGCGAATTCCGTCAGCTCTGTGACCGTCTCCACGGAYGTGCACTGGCAGCAGTGGAAGATTCGAACTTCTGCTTCCTTGTTCTGAATCCCATTGGCCACCAGCTTTGCCACCAGGGTCTTCTCTGCCATACACAACGTRTCCATGTCATGTATAACAAATGGCTGCAGAGGAAAAAACCATTAATTCAGTTGCACAATAATGGCTATTAATAATTTTTTCCTGAAGAATAGGAATTTTGATAAACTTTAACTTCTGTGCTAATCAGKCTTTAATAATCAGTAAACCCTGAGTTGTTTTGTATTTCAAAAGACAAACACTGTATGACAGAACTACAAACTGCAGCACCTAACAAGCCTGCTCTGCAAACAGCAATGCAAATGGTCAGAGATGCGGGGCTTGTCTTTAATTCATTTTATCTAATGGTTACAGCAAAGCTGCAGCACTCCTGTGCTTGGTATGCAAATATCCACCTCAGAGCCAGTCCCAGAGGGTTCACAAAAGACTTGTATTACCTTCTCCAGAAGTCCAGGTTATTCTGCCTACACTCCTATCGATTCCTAAACTAACTACACTTGATGCACATCATGATGCTTTCCTGAAGTACCCTAGGGGGAATACAGACAGTCATTTCAATACAGGACTCCAKATTTGCACAAGAATGAGAACCCTGCACTACTCTTGTGTGTTATAATCAGATTTTTATAGATTTATGTCCCAATTGTCCCAACTTTCTAATTGCAGTTGGGTCTGAGTCATCTCTAAACAAAATCCCACTCCAATGTCAAACACAAAATTTGGTCTTTTCCTTAATCCCCTTTGTTTTGAAAGGTGCATGCATTACAATCTGATGAGCCACTCTCTTCAAACATCATACCAAAACCAGCATTAGGACTTCCTTGMGAACAATCAGAACTCAAAAATATTGTGATACATATCTGCAGAGCAATAGTCAAAACAAAGTACAATCCCTTAAAGAAAAACAGCAAACCCCAGTGCTTCCCAGCCTAGCAAGGTCACAGCAACTGACCTTGAACAGAAATTTCCATACACRCCAAGCACCTTCCCTGGGCTGTTTTGCTCATCTCAGATTAAAATCCTGAGGAACACATAGTGTTCTGTCAGGAGCTCATAGGATTCACTTGTTTCACTCACAAAAYTGTCCAACAGGTGACTTTCCTATGGTTGTTCATTTTTAAAGGTTTACAGCTGCTGCACGTTCCATCTCACTCCAGCACAGTTACACAGAGCAGGACTTTCCATGGGAAGGTGGATATGAGTGGAAAGTGGCAAAGCAAGAAACACGTCTCTAAATACTTTAAAATATGTACACCACCTTAAACACTTTTAACAAGAACATTTAACATCATTTCACTATGCAGAAGTATAGCTAAGGACTTGGGAACTAAATTAAAAAATGACACTTTGTCATCATGAAAATTGCTCATTCATTCTGAAATTAAATGTAGTGGTGCCAAAAATTAGGATTCACTGTATTTGTGACAGAAAAACATACTTTTTTTTCACTGTCATAATGGGAAATTAACTTTGAACCATTCTCCCCATATCAAGAGGTATTCACATAYAGATATCACTTCATTTTTGATTAAGAACAATAATTTAAGGTTATGAGTTTTCACTTACATGGTAATCACCTGCTTTTCCTAAAGCTTCTTACTATTCTGACAGAGGTTAAAAACAACCATATTTACTACAGGTATTCTCTTTGAGTATTTCATGTCTGTATTACCATGATATTTATTTTCTATAAGACTTGCTAAAGAGTTTACAAATTATTGCAACCACCTTATGCWCCTGTCAGCTTTATTTTAAATTAACAGCAAAAGTACTTACTGGATTGTTATTGGTTTTCCCTGCAAGGATGATTCTGGCTTTAACCTTGTTCATATTGAAGTTTTTCAGGTAGGCATCGTGAATTCTTTTGGCAAGTGATTTAAGATCTGCCATTTCTGAATCTTCTACATAATTTTCACCTGTTAGAATTTCTGCTTTGAGCTTGGCCTTCTCCGACCTCGGCATTCGTCCAAAACGAATTGCTGATGGGGAGACACAATTATGAAACAAACATKAATTATTTAAGAACTTAAATAAATTGCTGATTAGAGCTGATTCTAGATAGTTTTTTGTCTGGAAAAACTGAGGTAGAGGTGAAGAAATCCTCACCTTCCCAACACAGTCAGTGACTGATGCTGAACTAAAGGAAATCAGTTATTTCAGAAACTTGGGTGTAAATTTGGWTGTAGCTCTTTTCCTGAGAAGGACTGCCAGCCACTTAGAAGCCATCCCTTTGCCCTTTTGCAACAAAACTGCAGGTGCTCCCTTCAGCTGGAGCACAGCCACAGCGTTCAGTGGGAAGAAACAGCTTCAAAATGTATCAGTTCCTGCAACCAGCACAGTTCCTTGCTCAGCTCCCAACCTGAGATGTCCCTTTGCTGTCCAGCACACTTTCTGAGCACGGCCATCCTCAGTCTTGCAGAGACTACCAACCCTCTCCCAAAGGACCTCAATCTCAGCCCAGGCTCACCACAAGGGCTGCTGCAGAACCAGAAAGTCAACTCTCCCCTGCTGGGACTCCAGACTGCAATGCCACAAGCAGCTTTCCCAACCGTGCTCCCACCCAGCTATCCTGACTGCACAGTTTCCTTRGGAAATTTGTCTCCTAACCCACAGCTTTTCACCTGGCCCAGCATTTTTACCTAAATCCACATTGCCCCGAGTTCAGCCTGGACAACATCAGAGCAGGCAGGGAAAGCAAACTACGGTCAAATAAATAGCCAGGTGAGAGGTGCYTTCTCATGGCTTGGCCTCTCCCTTYTCWCCCGTGCTGCTCAGCTCAGCAAGCTGTGTCCTGCACWCAGGATTGCCTCGTGGGCTGAAATGGCTCTGCAAGCCACAAGCCTGCCAGCCTTATCTTAAATCACTAGCACAAACAACARCGTAACTTTTAAACTGGGTAGCTAAATGCTCTGAATTTTTACCATTCTGTTTAACAAACAATCTACCAGATCCATGCTGCACAGTCAGCACGGACCTTTGCCCTCCCCCCTACTTTCTGAACCATCTGCCCAAGAGCTGTTGCACTGTAACCTGAAAAATAATGAAGACTGCTTTCCTACAGATTTCTATCCTGCGTCAATCCCCCCTTACAATGAGGCAGTTGTTCTCCTCCTACTCYTCTACAAAACCCTTGATCAGAATTCTTCCAGTATTGAAATTTGTTTCAATGGGAGTACTGCTGCTAAAGTTCTGGGAGAAGAAAGCAAATAAATGAACATTCATATGGACAAACTGACATCCAGCACAACTGTGTAAAGCTCRTATCAGCACATTTGGAAGCTCTGCATCAGCTACACGAACCCACCAGGGAAACTGGTGTCCCCCACCGTGATTTATCCTTTAAAAAATCTGAGGTTCCCTTCATGTGTATGAGTAAAAATGCYATCCAAGTGCCTGCCTGCAGCAGCAGACTCTGGGTAGGAACAAACAAATTAAGGGCACTCTTACCTACCATTATGTGACATTCCAACTGAAAGGCACTTTTGAAAACGACAGTATTGGCACTTATTACGATTTTTTTTCTGAATTTTGCAGTTGCGATCGCATTTATCATAGATGAGTTTTAAACGGATTGTTCTTCTAAAAAAGCCCTATAAAAAGTTAAAAAAAAAGTAATGTTAATGATTTTAGCTTCTAAGCTTCAATCATACAGGTAATTTTTTTTATCTTATTGCTTATTGATGTCACTAGCAAAGCAGTAGAGAAGGTCGGTCACACACTGCCCAACCACAGGGGCAGCAAACCCAGGGCCATCACTTTTTGTGTCACCTCAKCAAGCAATGTGTCATTTAGGCTGTGGGACACACCCTGCCAGGAACTGGCTCCCCATCTCTAACAGATATTCTGCTTTATGCCACAAGATTTACATTTCTATCATCATATTGAGTAGAAAACTGTACCCAAAGACCATTATTTCTCTCCTCTTACATTCTAATATAGAAAAAGATAGAAAACAAAAMCATTGGAGGAAAAAAGAAATTTATAGTTCATGGGTCATATCATCCCAAAAATGATAAGAATGATTTGCCCCAGAGATGTACCCTGGCCCCAAAACCATAAGAGGTACAACACTGAGTGATTCAGGCAGCMTGTGGTGGAGGTGAGAAATTCAGGATTTGTTACTGTTGTAACAGGAACAGAGCAGACTGSCATACTCCTCTTCCCAGCCATGATCCCAACACAAACAAAATAAAACACTAGTGGAGCATGAAGGCTTTGATTTATTTACTTATTTATTTTTGGGTCACAAATTAATGTTTTGTTGTAGTGTTTCACTAACTACATCCAGAAAAGCAGCATTAAAATGATCATTGTAAATTGCTCCTGCTTGATGAAGGTGTGCTATTGAGTTATGGTATTTGAACAACTTATTTCAGAAAAAAAGACCATAGATAGGTTTATTGTTTAAATAATTGTATTGGCTAGAAGTATAGAAATTAAACATTTACGTACCAAATGTTTATTTTCGTATTACCCTATAAATAAAGCAACATGATTTAAGTTCTTAAGAAGAAAATTATGACTGTACCTTACAACCTTCACAAGCATGTACTCCGTAATGGTAGCCTGAGGCTTTATCCCCACAAATTCTACATTCAATGTTTAATGCTCCACTGGGTGATTCATCTATGCTACCTGGAGCTGTGGCAAAATTAATGGATGAAGGACTGGATGCTGGTGAAAGGGTGTCTAAAAAAGAAAAAAAAAAAAGGAACACTTCATAAATACTGTTCTATCAAAAAAAAAAAAAAAAAAAAGGAACACTTCATAAATACTGTTCTATCAAGATTGATATAATTTCTATACTAAAACCACACAAAAAATACGAGATTATTCAAAAAAGAATCTTAACAGGCATTAAGTGAACTAACAACTTGACCATAAGTCTTTGAAAAATACTTCACATTACCAGTGCAAACCACACAAAATACAGGGTGTACCTTGCTAATTTTCATGAGACATAGAATGTCAAAAAGGAAAAAGCCTTACTGAAGTGACTCTGGAGAACTAGATGGGTGATAAAGGACCCAATAAATACACACCACACCAATGCTATTTGAAAAAAGGTTGTGAACAGCTCATCTTGACTTTCCATCTTCCATCTCCTGTGCTGCAGGGATGGGCAGGGGATCTCTTGTTACAGCACCACAGGAGACACATTCCTACCTCACACAGATACAGCAAGGACCTGTGAAGAACTACTCACAATTTTAAATGATACCTAAACTGAGGCCTAAAAAGCAGATGAATAAGTCCTGCACATCAGCAGAAAGTCTGAACAGATGTTAAAAGGAAGGTAACACAAGTGCCTGCTTCTAAAATAGTCTTGCTCAGATATTTTGTGTTTTGCTTCTAATGGGAAAAGCCTTTCTGAATCGTGATATAAACTCGCCAGACRTGCCACCAGCAGATGAACACATTACAAAAGTAACACGTTCCAACCTTAATTATGTCAATTAATATTTCCACCTTGTTGGAGGAAAATATTTTCTGAGGCCAGAATTTCTTTTATCTTCCATCTTGCAACTCGCACCACAAGACTTCAGCAAATTAATGGGTGTGTTATTTTAACAGACAGATTAAGAAACACTCATGAATGTAGGTCAGCAAGTATTATGTTGGAAAAAACCTTGGCACAGAACTCAGAGTCTGCATTGCCAGCGCTGCCAAGCCCACAGGCATCAGAGTCATCAAGAACAGCCTAAACCCCAGGATTTTTCTGAAGTGTGAGTGATTTCATTTTACTTGCCTTGTGAAATTTGGGCTTTGGTAGTTTACATTTTRCATGTTCTCTAACCACAAAACAAGAACATTTTGCAATGAGCACTGAATTCTCCATGAGAAGGTGACAGTAGAAGCTGATCCAAATTATTGTAGGCCTTGCACACACCTACACTCCATTAACTGTAAAACCTCCTGCCATTGAAGGACCACTTGATAAACAAATATACATAAAGAACATCAGAACTTTTCTCCTACAAGGCATCTCTCTGATGAGAAGGTCTGCAACCAAAAAGGAACCAAGTGATAGTTCTAGAAACATTCCCTTGGTCAATARTGCCAGGAGGCAGCCCTCCCTGCTCCCTTCAAAACCTACACTGATCATTTTGACTTCCTCAGTTCYATTATTTCAAGGTGAAACAGGGATCACGGGCTGGGAATTAATTTAAAGTAAGAACCCCTCCAAACAAAACCTAATGCAAACCAACCAAAAGGTTAATGGTAAACTACTCCAATTGGCTCTACTGCCCAAAGACTTGCAAACACCCAGGTTCAATAGGAAAACCTTCCTGAGATCACCAGTGTCCCACACCACTGCAGTGATTCCCGTTCTGATCTCCCAAACAAAACCTCTGACTAAAGACTGCTACAGTCATTCTTCAGGGACATTTGTCCAATWTTTGAACTTTAGCCTTAACTATTTTAAGAGCATCCCATAATCATATATATTTCTAGTGTCACTTCATCATAAACAATAACTATAGCATTAAAGATGCTTTCAATTTCTATAATTCTATTTATAAAAGAAAGTTTTTTGGTAAATCGAACTCTCTTACCTGTTATAAATGATCCATCAGATCCTGGACCATTTCCCAGTGATTGGAATTCTGTTAAACTTAAAGCTCCAGAGCTATCATCACCTAGAGACTGGGAGAGGTCTTGAATGTTCTCCATATCTTGTAGGAACTCTCCAGATAAAGGGCTGTCTATATCCTCCTCCTCCAAGGGAGTAAGGGGATAGAGCTGGTTTTCAGTGTCCACCATCTTGATCAAGTAGAGCAGTCACTTAAACTTCTTTACACTTGTGAAAAAAAAAAAATTAAAAATAATCAGATATTAAAAAAAATTATTTGAACCAGTTGCAGCACACTGAACACAGGATTTCTAATCCAAAGGTGAAATATTATACAACATTCTGTTGCTCTGGAAAGTTTATGCAACATGAATCATCAAGGGTGGGGAAAATTCCCAAAAAGACTTCAAGATGAATGAAAGTTATGACAAGATCAATCTGCAGATTRTTGTTTTCTCTCTACTGCTGAGAAAAGTGTTTCTATAGAAGGCTTTAAGCACTTCCCATCAAAACTGATAATAAACATCAATATTCTACTCACTCTTCYTGAATAGGAAAAACAAATGACATGCTGCCACTGTTACCAACTTGCCATCTCATTCTACAAAGACCATTAGTGCAGATCTATTTGCCCAATTTCTTTGAAATAGTATAGTTTAAACTGAATATGGGATTTATCCACAATTTCTAACACCAGTGACAGACAGCAGGTACGTTCTGTACCAGCTGTGCTGGTGGGTGAGAGCTGGACATGCAGCATGGATAAACCCAGTAACACCTGGAACCAACTGTGCTGTTTGCTCTTAGTTATCTATCACAGCTCCTGACATCACCAGAACATATTCCAACTGAGAAATGAGAAACCCCTTGCATGTATTTGTGAAAACAAAGCTAAATTCYTGTCCCTGTGACGCAGCCATTTTGCGATGAGGGAAAGCATAAAGAAACCTCCAGCAATTCAGAGACCACCAAATCTGTCTCCTTAAGGAGCCACCAGCAAAAAAAAGATGAGAGGAATGGCAGAGCACACGATTGGCACTGCTTCTCCAGTGTGCTCTTCAAGCTCTCCTGGGTTAATCCCAGGATCTGGGTTGACACACAGAAACATTACGTTCCTGTGCAGACACTCAGCCCCRGGACAGCTGGGGAGGTTCCAGTAGGCACTGGGTTTCTCGTGCCATGTTCCMTACTCAATCACATGAATCTCTCCAAGAGCTGCTTCTTCATCCAGCACAAGTATTTTTAAAAGATTAAGTGAACACTGAGGTCTACCTTCAACCAAAAGAGGCATTATCTGACAGGAAAGCAAAGGAAAGGCTTGAGAGCCTTTGACCTCTAAGCAACTTCGCCCAAACCGCACCATATTTTTCCACATTTACAATCAATATGTAAAACTCAGCAGCCTTTTTAGCTGAATTTCTGTAAAAACAACCTAATAGCTAGTGAAACATAAATGGAGTGCTTCTTGTTTTAACTATTAAATTACATACCCTTTTGTACTTTCAAACACTACAAGTAAATTACAGCTGCTTAATCATTAGAGCTCTTGTCAATGATTAACTGGTACCTAAGCAAGCATGGCGACAACATAACAKTTTCTGAAGACTGTCAAAATACACTAATATTCAAAAAACACTAATATTAAAAAAATTGAAAATTATTTTTTATAAGCTCAGGAAATCTTTAAGTAATTTATCTGGTGATTACGCAGTAAACTGCCTTCTGGCTTCTCTGTTCTGTGCGTGTTTACACGTGCACGTGCTTTCTTTGGCAGGCATAACACAYATTGATCCTTGCTTGAATGAGAAAAAGCTAAAATAAAAAAGGATGAGGAGTATGAAGTTCATTTAATATTCACAGAGAGTATTCTGCTTTACAAAAGGCCCTGTACATGTTACAACAGTAGATGCAGTAGCTGCAGTATGATGATTCCACTCAAAGGTATGTCTTCTAARTCTGTACAAAAATTCTGGGCCACAAAGACATTTGCAAAGGATTTTCTCAGTTTCCCATACAATATTTTAGTCTCCACACCCCSTTTCCTACCCCTACATACTAACACACACAAACTGAAAACAAGAGAATAGAGCACAGAGAAATAAGGATAGAGCTTCGTGCAATTCTGGTTTTGAGGTTAAACAGATTTTACTGTCTCACATGCTGTTATCTCTGAAATAYGTCTATTTTCACAAGAAGTCCTTTCCCACCATCACACTGTGAATACCCACTGAGCAACTTACCTATAAACTTGAAACAGGTCCCAAAGAAATCAGTCAGATTATTAAAGAAAAATACTTCATCATGCAGCTATCAGTTATTTTCTTCATTTTTGGAAAGGGATGGAGAGATCCCAAACCTCCATCCCTTCCACATTTAATACTCGCCACACCAGGGATAATCCCTGTCAGGAAACAGCTCTCGGAGATGCAAAGGTCTCTGGGAAGCAGTAACAAAGTCTGAACTTACTGCATAAACAAATTGATCGTGTAAAGGGCTTGCTTGCAAATACCAGGGTTAAAGTTGAAACAATCATTACCTYTAGGTCATCTGGAGAATGCTGGGGCTGAAAACAGCACATGTAAAACTAGTGACTGCAATAGATACTTTTAGAAAACTTCAGAGGATAGGAAGAACCTTGAATATGCAGGATATTTCCAATATCCTGATTCAACACGAAAAAAAGAATGAAAAATAAGATTTGGTATCTAAAGTGTGACAYCCAGACTTCTACCTGGGAAGTGATGCATATTTCCTCTGTCATGTGATGATTGATTCAGTTTTCATAGTTTGTAATCTTACACACTATCACTAGTTTATATTTTAAAAGGTATTAGGAACTTAAGACAAAGAACAATTTCTATGCACGTGATGAAAAATTTTCATGAGCCACTTCTTCATAAACTGCCAGTTGCACGCCCCCTCCCAAAAAAACCCACCCAGAAAAACTTCATCTTTCTTCCCTTTACTCAGCTGCAGTCCAAGACACCATATGCAACCCGTAAGTATCCTTGCCTTTAAAAGAAATCAAAATTCACATACCCTAATTTTGAAAATTGATGGCAACAGTGTAAAGTTAGAATCTTAAATGTCACGTAAGGAAAAATTCTGTGCAACCTCGATTCTGATTCTCTCCCCAGCCCCATGGCAGGGGAGTGAGCAAGAGGGGTTGCCACCTGGGGTTAAGCCATGACAAAATGGTAAAAACATCGTGGGAATGTTTTTTTTGGTTTTATATTACTCAGCCAAACCCAAGAAGAACTTACTGAGCTAGGAAGCTGCGTTTCTTTGGTCCCAGGATTTTCTGTCCYGCTGGATTTTAAATGACATTGGTGTATGTTACAGATCAATGTCACCTTCCTTTTAAATGTGACCTTCCTGCTTTAAACTATTTATCTGCTTTCTAGATCTTCAAGATTATATATCCACCATTTCCTCCAATGCCTCCTTTCACTAGTGTAACACATTTATTAYACACTAAATAGTTCTAAGATTTGTTTGTTTTGCCAAGATGACTGTTTAAGAAGTAACAGGACAGCAACTATTCAGGAGATAATGAAACTATTTATTTCAAATATCATATCCTATCCATTTCACACAACAGACACAGTTAGTAATGGAGAAAAAACTATAAAGCTGAAATTAATTTTCAGCAAACAGAAATAAGAGAGGTAATTCATCTCACCTAACGTCAAACAGCTCACTTAACACGTTTGAGTTGAGTGGAGCTCAATGGAATTTCCAGAGCCACGACTGATCTTTGAGGCCATGATTACACACTAAAAACCTGCTMCTTTTCAATCAGACACTTCCCTGATCCAGTTCATTGCAAAGCCTGACAAATATTAGCACTGGCTCAATGGAGGGAGCAGAAATGAGCAGCTGGGAGAGCGACACCCGCACTGCACGGCCAACAAATAACTGAAATGTGCTCTGAGAGCCCAGGGACTGCGTGGACAGGCTGGGGCTGCAAACCAGGCACTTGCACTGCCTGAAGGGAGGAAACCAATGCCTCTTTGGCCTCCTGTGAGAGATGAAAACTGCTTTATAAATCTATTAGATTAAGGGGTATTATCATTTTTTAGCAGAGCCATGGAACTGTAACTGCAATGCAGGCTCCATTGTGCACATCCCACAGATCCTCACCTTCCAGCAGTGAAACTCCCACTGGAATTCAGTAAGTGGAGGATATAGGCATTTACTCTGAGTTGATACAATGTACTCTAATAAAGAAATGACTGAAATAAAATCATAGTTGCAATGCTGGAAACTCAAACCAAGAGTAGAATCTAGCTCAAAGAAAGACTTCAGCTGCTTGTAAAGAATAAAACAAAATCCTAGCATCAAGTGGCTTTCTGATGGAGAATTTTAAATTCAACAAGCCTCTCAAGAAACTAGGAACACCCTTCAGAACACTTTATATTTACACTGACTCCACATTAGACCACAAAGAAGATTTCACCATGTTTCATCCATAACATTAGACTGGTCAGCCTGTTGCTGTCAGCTCAGCTTCAGATGCAAAGAAAGACCACAGCTCCTGGCTGTCAGCACACAGACCTGAAGCCTGTGTTTAAATGAGCCCCTGCAATCCCTTTAACAACAGCAGCCACATTTGGTTTCATCAGCAACGGGACAGGAAGGTTTTGCAAGCTTTGCCTCCAGGCTCCAAAGACAAGACTTACAGGTCTATCACCTCAAGCTTACACCTATCTGCAATCRTGCTTGCTCTCTTCCACATAAACGGATATATCAAACATGGCATTACTCAAATTTGCATCAAGGCCCTTCTGATAAGAGGAAAATCCTATATTGTAAAGATTGAGTTGTTTGAACTGCCTTCAAGCTCAAATAGGTTCAAGTCTGCATAGAATACCAACATGACTTTGAGATTTTTTGGYTGATTTGTTTGGGGTTTTTTTCTTCTCTAAATGTGAGTTTTCTTATCCAAAAAGTAAACACTTTGGTGGTTTCTGTAATTGGGAATAGGAAGACTTGACTTTTCTTTCTAGTGAATGCTGAACTGAAACTGAAGTCAGAAATATCTATATGTCAAAGTAAAGCTTTCAAACCCCTTTAAATCTGTGTCTGTTGAATCCTTTAAAAGTCAGGACTTCAGTATAAGTCACTGGTAATATCAATTAACAAACTATATCATACTATACTTAGGGTTATTGGAAACCTATGATGTTCTCCTTCACTTTACTATTTTCTTCAAGAAGT